AATAAAGTAAGACTCTTTCCACTCTGCCACTCTGTTCACCAACCTGGTGGGTGTGTCGGGGAGGTCCCAGCACGGGCCGTGCCCTGTTGGAACCTGGAGCTTTCGCCTGCCGCAAGAGCATTTTCAGAACCAGTGTTGGAAAAAACCGTGGTTCGTGTTTGCCACGTTCTGACAATGACGCCTTATCCCGACACCACCAAGAAAAACACCACAAATACTGACAGTGGAATGGGAAGAAGGAGGGGGGCGCTGAAAGGAACTGTACAAGCCTGCATTTCATCGTGTTCGGAGATTAGAAGCCGACAAAGCAGGATTGCCCCAATACAGGGTCAAGTAGCCCGCTCGGACTCAGAGAAAGTCATGGAGAGAAAACCATAAGGAAGCAAGAAACCAAACAAATCATGTTGGTTCTCCTAGCCCTAGCCACATGAGTTCCTCCTCACCACCTTCACAGGTGAGAGGGAGCCAATCAACAAACACAGTACAAAGTATATAATGCACAAAGAAGCTCAAAATGCCTCGCAGCAAGGTGGCAAAGTGTCTGACTTACGTTAGGTCAGGTCATCCTCATGGATGGACAAAGCTTGTGCCAAAGTCACGGCAGCAACAAACAAAGAGAGGATATTGCAGCCACCTCGCTCCATTCAAGGCGAACACCAAGGGTGGTCGCAATGCAACAATAGCCGTTAGCCGAACGAAAACCCTACTGTTACCCCTACCATTACCTACCGACCTACCTACTATACTACACACAGCGAGTCTGCACATCACCTTCTCCCCAGATTCTTTACCCATCCAACAGGAAAGAAAGGTGTGCTTGGAATCAGGAAGGCACAACCGAAAGAGAACGATAAGGGACCAAGGACAAGTTTGGGGAAGCATTCAATCTTCATGATGCAACTGATGCACTGAATTCCACCATTTCAAAAACACTACAGTATCATAGAATTTTTGCCAAGGCCACCTTGGGCCGGGCTCTCGAAGCCTTCTTCTTTCCTGCTTCTTCCTGCACTTGGAAAGGTGTTGAGTATGCTCACCCTCGATAAACAGTATGATTGAGTTCCACTTGATTTTTTGCAAACTGGTAGGCAAATGGCCTTCTTGATTCTTGCCTGGATGAAGCTTGCGGCACCCTGCCAGCGTAAGAGCAAGACTGTGACACATCTCTTTTGCATGGCTGGCTCTGACGGGAAGCAAACATGAATTCACAGTGGCAAGTGGCACACAAATGCACGCAGCATGTTTTGGACCTTGACAAGAAGGCCCAATTGCTGTGGCGGAGCTTCCAGCCTTGCCGCTGCGGTTTCTCGGTGCAAAGGAGGCTTTTGCCAGAATCATCTCCAGGCATTTAGTAGCGTCCTTGTTCCTAGAAGCGATGCCCTTTGCCCCTAGTAGCGTCTTTGCTCCTAGTATTAAGGCCAGGAGCCCCTAGTAGCTTCTTGTTCCTAGTAATAATGCCAGGAGCTACTACTAGCTTCTTGCTCCTAGTAGCGATGCCCTTTGTTACTAGTAGCGTTCTTGTTCCTAGATGTCTTACCGTATGGAAGTATGTTTAGAATTGTTTTATATATTCAGATTCACGTGTGACATCTCGCCGTCACCAAGGCCTGGGAATTTCTTCCTGCCTTGGGAAATGAAAGTGTGAGAACAAAGCAGAGCAAAGCTTCAGTTGGCAGTTGGCAGTCTGTGCTTCCAGCTCATCATCTTCCTCTCTTCCACCCTTGTCCTCCTGTGCCATTACATCATATTATCTGCTTCAATAACAACAACAATGTGCCTTTTGGTGTGGGTCTAACCGTTTCACTGTTTCACTGTTTCACCATGGTCATGGTTTGAAGTCATAGCAAGCTTGAACACAGAAAGACTGAGACGGCTTTGTGAGTTAGTGTTGGCTGTACGCATTGCACTGTCTGTCCTCTTCTGGTGGCGCAGGTGCCATGGTCTCCATTTCAGCAAGAACCGAGCTCTTAGGCGCAAAAAGCATGCGGAAGTCCTGTCAAGGCCGTTGCTACATTTGAAGGACACTTCACTGAATGCGCAATCGAGGTCTACGTAAAGCGAATACCTAGCTGAAGGCTGAAGGCTTACACAAGTTGGCCAGACTTCTCCAAACGCTTCTCTCTCCACAACTCTAAAGAATTAGCGTCAAGACCCGCAATGAATGTTGGTTGTGCAATGTTTACCTGTAGGGCACACGCCTCAAAGGCAGCCTGCCCATCGCTCTCACTGCCAATCATTGCAAGCCTTGGTCAGCAGTCGGGTCAAGGGCGTCAAGGCAAAACTCAGACATCAAATGACTTCAAATGAGGAGCATCTCGTCCAGCTCATCATCTTTGGGCTCCTGCCAGTGCCCATGCTGCAGAGACACAGCAGTTGATTCTTTACAATAGACCCTCATAAGCACAGTCTGCTCAAGCTGCCTCACCAAGTACTGTCAAAAGATATCGCAACTCACTGACTCCAATGAAGCCGTTCCCGTCAAAGTCGATTTGTGTGAAGGCCTGCTAGCAAATTGCTAACTACCCCGAGTTGGAAGGACCGACAAACTGAAAGCGCCTCCCTGACATGTGACTCTCGAACTCCTGGCTCAGTGCATCCACAAAGCGACAACGCAAGAACGACAGAAGTCACAGATCCTGGAAGTCCAGGGATGTCATCATCCTGGCGAGTCCACCCGCACCGCATTTCTACTGAATTCCTCATCCGAACCTGCAGCGGCAAAGCCACTTCAGGAACGGCCATGACTTGGACCTGCAGTGTCAGCTGCACTGAGAGCATCCACCATCTTTCTGCAGGACATCCTCTTGCTTAGTGTGTTCCTACATCGCTTTAGGTTGTATGCATCGCTATTAGGTTGGAGGTCATCGCTATTAGGTTGGAGGCCATCGCTTTTAGGTTGGAGACAATCGCTTTTAGGTTGGAGGCTGGAGGCCATGGCTATGCTTTTTCCAACAACACAAATAGAAAAAACAGCGGCTTTGTGCAGACAGACTCTAGACTCATGAACATCTAGTATAAACCCTCCAATTAATTATGTATAGTGTTTGTATGCACAATCGGCGTAACCGATGTCAGACTCTGTTGATGAAGCCGTTAACCAAATATTGAGGGCTTGATATGTACTAAATACTAGGTACTAGACTATTTATATATATATATGTGATATAGTAATTTTGTACGCATGTGAATGGTGGACAAACCTTTTGTTTGTGCAAGCTGCCCAAATTACTTGAGTCGTCTGAAGATTCTTTTCGCATCTTTTCGCATTATTTCGGCTCCAGACAGTACACACAAAAAGGGTATCGGTATAGGCTGGGCGCCCATTGGTTCTTCGAGTTTGGAACACTTGTAGCATAAAGTCACCAAACTGATATCCAATACAACTTGCGCCAAACCTCTCATGACCAGCAAAATCCCTTGTTTATGAGCAAAGGAGTTTTCTTTGGGTTCCAACACGTGTAAAGTGTAAAGTCAAGGGTTCTGACGGAAAGCAACTGAAGGATCGAAATCAAAGCCGGACAAATGATCCACACAACCCGAGCAAACAGCAGAAAAGCAAAATCGTGCCTTTCCTTTGCTGGTGGTTCTTCGTCGCAACTCCAAAGCTTTGCTGTCTGTCATTCTGGAGCGGCCGCTGCTTGGGCTGTCCGGAGCTGCCGCAAGCTCCTGCTCAAGCAATGGCCTCTAATTTCTACAGAAGTGGGGTCTCCTCAATCTGGCAAAACAATGGTGCAAAATAGTTGGCCCCTGTCCATCAGCATCTTGCTGTTGCTCCGCTTGCTGCTAGTGCTGAAGTCATCTGCCTCGAACAAATCAGAGTCGTGTGCCGCGTATCAAGTTATATATCAAATGTCAAGGCCTCTGGCGGAGCAGGAGGCACCAACGGAAGGTGCGCTAAATCCTGGTGCTACATGTGGCAAACGGAGAGCGGCCAGTCCCTTTTGTCAACGCTTAGACTTCCACAAGCTGACCGTGCTGCATCCAATGCACTCTGCACCTTGGGGGCAGAAGTTCCTGGAAACGCCACACGCCTCCGTCAGCATACAACTTGACACACACGGAAGCGTCAGCATGTTGCTTGCCAACTTAAAAGGCTTGCTTGACGCGATGGACAACGGCAGCAACGACTGCAATGACTTAATGCCCATGATTGTACGATTGTGAACATGCTTTGGCTATCATACCTTGCAGTGTGTCAACATGCTCGAAAAACAATAATACACCGATACACCAATGCCTTCAAAACTCTTGCCCACTTGGTGACAAGATCACGTTGCGGTGCTGAAAGGAAGATCCCAAAGCAAAATGACAAGCCTGCCTCAAGTCTGCCGAAGCCTTTGATGAAAGCGCTTTGAGACCCCTCGCAGTCGAAGGTGATGCATCCTGCTCAAGCAACTGTCTTGACAAATCACCGCTTGCCCACAAGTTAACTTGAGACGAGACATGCGGCAGGAACACACAAAAAAGAATCAAAAAAGCAATGCTTGTTGTTGTCCTTTTTCTGTTTTTCCTTGTTTAAGCCCGCTCAGGACTCCCTTAATTACTCAACTAACTTAAAAGGTGAGGGCTAAGAAAGCTACTTCCTACTGCACGCAGGATGGCTCACGCTTCTTCAAGGAAGCTGCCCTAAAGGCGGCGGGGAGAGCTTTCTTGAAGAAGCGCTCGCACTATTCATTTGGTTCCTAGATTAAAGCACACCTCGGCATCACCCTGCTCTTGGTCTGCTCCTAGCGAGATTGAGAGCTGTGACAAACACTTCAAAAAGAAACGTGAAAGCCGTTGCCTCTGAGTGCATTGCCCAGCAGTGGCATCCGCACACTTCATAGCAGTCAGCACTTTGTGCTGGAAGTGGACAAATTGAAACAAGTATATACTGTAAGTGTCTTGAACCTTTTCAAGTTCAGAAGCCTTTTTGAACACATGCGCACCATAGCTCATTCTGCACAAAGGTATCTTGAAGCTGAGCTAGGTTTAGGGGCCTCCAGGATACCCTGTATCTAGTCGTTAAGTAATTGCTGTGGGCCTGCTTGATGAGGTCGAAAGAATGAGGCAGGATCAAAAGAATTGCTCAAGAACCGCACCATTGTCCAATGAATGTTCGTCTGACTCCGGCAGAAACCTTTCCCTCATGTCTATTGAATTGAAGTGGTGGGACTAAGTTTTCAGCCAAGGACATGCTCCTGAGAGAGTCTTTGTTCTTTAAACAATCCCTGTAGTCTTGCGCTTCAAAACGGCCACAGCCCCCAACTAATTTCTATCAAACGCTTCCACCTGGTTCTTGCTGTGTTCAAGCAGCAAATTTATATTTTGTTCTATCGCATTGGCCTGCTGAAGACACTGACAAAGCTTCGCCACTGTCCACGCTGAGAAGGGCTCTCCTCAACACATCACAGGAATCATGAATTAGATTCTAATTAGATTCTATAGCTTCTTGTTACTACTAGTAACAAGTGCATCGCTAAGTAGTAGTAACAGGTGCCTTACTACTAGCAACAAGAAGCTATTCGTTAATTTAATTTAATCTTAATTAAATTCTATAGCTTCTTGTTACTACTAGTAAGGCACTTGTTACTAGAAGCGATGCACTTGTTCCTAGTAGCTTCTTGTCCCGATAAATACAAAAAACATCAATTATTGATATGCTATCAAATACGTCTCCTTCAATGGTCGCCCAGGGCGGGCCATTCGGCTCTCAGTCACACTTGAGGCCTGATCACAAGTTGCCCCCCTCCAACACAGCCACATCTAGGTCTATAACTACTTAATTAAGCACCTGAGAACTACTGAGGACGGAGAACATGACTTTCTCACAATTGTTTGAACAAATTCACAACCTCTGAGACACAATTGGCAAACTGGCCGCTGGCCTGAATCGCTGCATCACTGCCAAATCTAGCTTGGAGGGCTTTCCTTGATGCCAAGATCCAAGTCACGGCCTGCAACAAGTGCATGTGATGCCCGGAAAACATGTTTCACGGTGGCCGTATTAATAATCCAGAGCCTGCACAAGTGCCAACGCTGAAGCTCCAAAAGGATTCAATTCAACCCCAAAAGTCACCGCTGCAGAGACAGCAATCGTTGCTGCCTCAGAAGTAGAAGTGATATCAGTGATATCCAAGAATGTGCACCTATGCTAAGTCCGTGTCCGTAGCCACTGGCAACAACGCACTTTGCTGCTCAGCCTCAGTTCTGACCGATCGTGCATTGTCAGTGTCTTGGCGTTTCTCCAATACGCTAGTCACCTACAGCACTTGGGCTGCAGCCTCATTTGCCAGTGTATCAGTCAGGGCAAAGCTCATCCTGCGGCCTGCAGTGAGCAGCTCCTCGCAACATGCAACACATCGCTGCCATATCGCTGGTCAGTGTCTTCGACGATCTTAGATGTCTGCAAGCATTGCAGCTGTGGCAGTCCACGTGGAAAAGAGCACGCTCCGCTAGGAACAGCATGCCAGCCACCTCTGCACGATAAGCCCGATAAGCTTCCATGGCGGACACAGTGCCAACTCTCAGACTGTGTTTCCTGTTGTTGCATCCAACCTAATATGTCAATGTAATTGAACAAAGTGAGGCTTTGGGAACATGGCCACAAAGCTGCTCACAGCTGTCGATGCAACCGCCCTATCCTCAAAGGTCCTGGCAACAGCTGGTGGTCACCATTGTACGGTATTGCAAAGGAGCGTTGCTCAAGACACACTACGCCTATTTGGGGGAAGCACCGCAAGAAGTATGCCAGGAAGAGTTGCCAGAAAAGGCTGCCTGTTGGAAGAGTCTGGTTTTCTGTTGGAAGTTTCTGAACAAGGCACTTTCAAATTAAGAGTGAGGTTCAAACACAAAGGTCCATCGGTTGCGGCACCAAAGGTCACACCAACCTGCCACAGCAGCAACGGTGGCAAAAGTCCACTGCAACTGTGCCTGAAGAAAGCCAGGGTTGCGAGAACCTTTCGGTAACGGGCCCTCTGAGACGATGCCAGGCCGCAAAGGCGGTGGATAGATTGTGCTCCTGATCACAGCTAGTGTGAAAACTTCAATCTGGTCACTGCACACCAGCCTTGAGGCTGGCATGTCAAGTTTGACTTTGGACGTCCATAGCAATACAGCCTGAGCCAACCAAGAAAAAAGAAAGAACGCTCGTCCAGTTTTCACATCACAGAAATGTCTGTCAGTGTTCCAAAATGTTCCAAGCAATAGCATGCATCAGACAGACCTGCCTGTAAAGGCAACATGCTTGCACCGGCAGCAACCTCAGTACAAGAACTATCCATCTGCCCCAGAACAATCAACTAGGAATCATTAGAGTTTTCATCATCCAATCGCCAAACCCGATGCCAAAGCCTGAAACACCCAAAGCCCCGTTTGCATTCAGTTGCAGGGAATCGAGTCCACCTGAAAGTTTCTGACGGCACCTGGTGAGTTCTGGGCAATATACTTACTAACTTACTAAACTATATACACTGGAAAAAAAAATAAAAGAAACATGGCACAACTCCAATCACGCGGAGAGCGCCATCTACCCTACCCAAACGTCAAACTCAGACCACTGCCAAAAATCGCGGTTATGGATCCATGACTCATGAGGTCTTGAAATATTGCGCCATCTACTTGGCGCAAAACTGTGAACATGTCTTCATGCCCTTTGCTTTCTGCTAGGAGAAACCAAAAGGGAAAGGAAAAGGTAAGGGCAAAAAAGGAACAGCGAAAATGAAAGGGAAGAAGGGACAGGGAAAAAGGAAAAGGAAACGACAGCACTGCAAGGAGTAGATGGCCCAACCTTTTTAAGGAGTCAGGAGTGTCTTGCGTCAAATCATGGGCCATGGCGCTCATTGCCTTGCGGCCAAAACTTGCTGTTGCCAGGAAGGAATGGTAAGGAACTGGAAAAGGAAAGAACACGGATATACAAAGAGCAACCAAAAAGAAAAAGGAAAGGAAAGGACAGCAGTGCAAGGAGTAGATGGCGCAACATTTTATAAGGGGCGGGAGTGTCTTGCTGCATATCATGGGTCGTGGGTGCTCATGTCATTGCCTTGCGGCCCAACTCTTGCCGCTGCCAGTGCCGAGACCAACAGGACAGCAGTGCAAGTCCCAGGGAAAAGAAAGGAAAGGAAAGGGAAAAAGACAAGCGAAAAGAGAAAAGGAACCTGTTTTGTTGCAAGTGCTTTTGGCGCTGCGCCACCTATGCGGTTTTCCTTTTTCATGTTCCTTTCATTGTTCTTTTCGCGCTTCCTTTTCCTGCTTCTTTCCTTTCCATGGGACTTGCACTGCTGTCCTCTTGGTCCCGGCCCTAGCAGCGGCAAGATTTTGGGGCCTGAAAAATCACAGAACCTTGCAAAAACCTCCTGTTTTTTTCCCAAATTCAACCTTAAGATTTAAAAAAAAATCGGGACCGCGCGATTTCCACCATCGCCTTTGATCGAGTTAACCAGTATACCGGAGCCCGTTTTGCTTGGTACCCCTTTGTGGAGTAGATGGCGCAACTCAACAACCGTACAAGGTCAAGTAGATGGCGCAACTCAAAAACCATGCGCCATGCACTTTTTTGTGGAGTAATGCCAACTTCTCTGACCAACTTCTCTGATACCCATCGAATTGGGCCATCCAACATACCAAACCAGAAAATGAGACCTGTGGGACTTCGAACATTTCAAGGAATGCTCGGCTCTGCTCACTTGCCATCAAAGGGACAGGCTACTGTTTGTTACAGCATGGGTGGAGCAAGCCGACCAGCTTTCGCTGACAGCGTTGGCCAAATCCCTTCATCACATGCTGGAATTGCTAAAACCTACACAAAGTCGTTTCGCTGCACAAAAAAGGCATGCGGTATTCTTCTATTCTCCACGCTACAGCTTGTAAAGCACAAATGCCCTGCAGGCACAAATCCGAAATGCCGAAAGCACCTCTTAGTCATAGGCCAAGTGGAACACTACCAACCCAAAGCTCCAACAGTGCTGCATTGTCTGCAGCCATGACAACCTCGCAGAGACGGTAATGACCACAACAATTTGGACTGCCAAACCATGGAGTGACTCAAGCAACTCACCATGCCTTGATGAAAACACCCAGGGTTTGATCGAGATCAGAGCAAGGACCTCAGACTTATGCAAGAGCGAAAACCAACCCAATGCATCCCAAAACCATGTGGGAAAACTTGCAAGAAAGGCGACAGTGAAAGGGCTGAAGCACATGCTGAAGCAAGGAGCACAAGTCGCAGCAGTGCAGCCAGCCGCGGCCAGGAGAAATGACCGGAACTGCATTGCAGAGGCAGTGAACTCCTCGAGTTCCAGAGCTTTTTGAACGCATTCTATCTTGCATGGCTCGCTCTCTTCCCCCCCGCTCTCTCTCTCTCTCTCTCCCTCTCTCTCACTCTCTAACTCGTTCGAATCCTCCATGGTGCTTGTAGCAGATTTCAAATCTGCAGCCTTCACCTACCGGCCCGAAAGCACATCAATAAGTTTCTTAACATGATGAAGATTGAAACAAACTTCAGTACAGTAGGTATTGCCAATATTTGTGCCTTGGAAGCCGAAGCACTTCGCCGAGCATCACTTTCAGAGGCCTAATCTAGCAGTTCCATCAGATCACAGGATCAACTCTATAAGTCCATAAGTCCATAAGTCTGTTTTTGTTGGCAAATGCACCTCAACCACAAGCTCAAGGTTGCTGGGCAATATGTTTGTTCCAAAATGTCCTGCATCTTCCATGGGGACCCACTTCTCAATCTGGACATGTCTCCATTAATCTCTAACCTCCACGACTCCACAATGAAACAAATTGGGTTGTGCGAACTTGTGACATCTTAGAGAAGTATGTGTGTTCGGCTTGTTTCTGAAGTTTACAAGTCTTGGGGCCAACTAGTCAGGATGGAAAGGTTTAAATGCTGCTAGAATAAACATGTTGCGCAGCTAGCTGAAACTGCTCCCAAACCACGTCTAAATGGTAGATACAAACAACAACAACAACAACAACAATTTGTTCTTCTTCTTCTTCTTCTTTTTCTTCTTCTTTTTCTTCTTCTTCTTCTTCTTCTTCTTCTTCTTCTTCTTCTTCTTCTTCTCACGCGCCCAAGAGGTTGCGCAGCCGTTCGCGGGCTCTCATGGCCGGCGGACTCCGGTGGAGTTCTTTTTGTTTGAACGGGGCCTATGGCCCAAAAGTTCAGCGTCAACCTCTATTCAGACATGTCAGGCTCAAGCCAAGACAGTGTGCGATCTTCAAATTTTTCACATTTCAAATTCCATCAATTCGGTCAAAATTCAGCAGAAAAAGCTGATGTGGAATTCGAAGGGAGGTACAATCATCTGTTGAACAGGAGTTTCCTAGCAGCAATGCCAAGCGCTGTTGGTCATCGCTAGGATCCATTTCAGTCCAAGTGGCCGGGACAGGAGGCCAAGACACTTCGATGGAGTGGCCACCTGAGTCTTCATGGTCATCGGCCTCAGATTGAACCAGCTCCATAGCTGGTTCGGTTTCCTCAGTATCCAAGGGACTGGTGTCACCTGGAGGGCCTTCAGCGAGGTCGCTTGCACTGGAAGGGCACGGCATGAGCGGGACAGTACCAAATCAGTACCAGGCGCTCTTTCGCCCAGGCTGGGAGTGTCTTATGCATCTTGGCCTTCTTGGCATCATCAAGTTCATACCAGCAGGGCGGATTCCAGGCTTTCAAGAAGGGGATGAAATGTCCAGATGTCCTGCTGCCCAAGTGCACTACTCCTGAAACAGGTACATGAGGAATCCATGTCAGGTCAACTGTCCTGGCATCGGTGAAGAATGGCAGGGAGAGCTCGTCTTCCAGCTCGAGCGAATTGTTGTGACCTAGGGCAGGCATCAGCGTGACAGATCTGTCAATGTAAATGCACTTCAAAGTGCCAACCGAAGTGAAGGCAGACCTCATTGATTCTGCATGAATCCATGGCTGCAGGAGTTGCGTCATGGTTGGTGTAGGGATGTCCAACTCGTACAAACAATCCAGTGCTATGGGATGCTGCCACGTTCCAGCCTCAGGGCGCTCAACTTTTGAACCAGCAAGGAATCGTCTCTCCCATGTCATGGAGATGGCTTGAGATTCAAGCCAATCCACAAGTTCCGAAACGAACTCCCCAACATCTCGAGGCATACACTTCTGAGCCGCATGACTGAGAAGGTCAGGAAACGAAATGGCCACGCTTGTCCCCGGCATGGTCTGAAGTCGATGAAGAAAGGCTCGAACAGGTCGAAGCTGGGAGCCAAAACCATCCAGAGAAAAGCTGGATCAACCCAGCAAAGCCCGCAAGGTGCACAATAGGCCTGCATTGGCCCAGCACCAGCAGCTGTCATTGATCAGCTGCGCTCCCAAAAGAGCGCCACGGAGAATGTCTCTCAATGGCGGCGGTTCCCTGGACGGCGGGGATATGCTATGTCCTGAAGTTCTTGTGCTGCTCGCGATCGCTGTTGTGAATGAGCTTTCAGTCTTCCGGCCATGAGCATCCACACTGCTGAGCCGTGAAGTGCCTTCATTTCACACATCAGCGGGTCGTTTCTCATGGCCAGCTGGATTTTCCAGGGCGTCACTCCTGTTGTGTTCCCTTGGATCAAATTGGTGGGTTCCTGGAGTGCCACATGAAGTCGTTAGAGCTTCTGGTCCATCTCTGCCGTCGAAATTGCCTGATTCTGAGCGGGCAGGAGACATTTCTGTTGGTGGCACCATTGAAGATAAGGAATCGTCCCGTCCTCCAGGATGACCTTGGTCTGAATGCTGTTGCGGCGAAACTCCGTGTCTGAGAGCTTTGCGCAGAAACTTTTGAATCTCCGCATCAGTTCTTCCGTGAGAGTCCGCATCAGGACTACCCGGAGTGGAGAGGTGTTGGTCGTCTGCTCCTTCCAATCCTGGGCTGCTTGGATCAGGAGTTGCGTCACGCCCTGAGTTCCATGTGTCAGGAACAGGATGCACTGGTCCTGACAAGCCAGGGCATTCAGTGCGTCCTCGTGCCTCAAGGAGAGGATAGCCAGCATCCTGCATAGTTGCGAGACTTGTTCTGCTTGCGCTGAGCTGTCTGGCGTCACTGTCGTCAAGGCACGACCCCCTCGACATGTCCGGATGCCCAGTCTTGATCTTCTTGGCCGAGGTGGTTTGTCTCGCAGGTGTCGGTGCGTCTGCGAGCATACCTAAGAATGCATCCTGCATCTGGCTGATCTTGTCCCCTTCGCTGACCTCTTGCTTGTGTTCTTCCATGGCGGATGAAGTCAGGACGAGTTTGGAGGTAGAGGGAGGCCAGATTCTGAAGGATGGCACACTTGTGTTTGAGGGCATGCCATGCTGTGTTGTCAACAATATAGTACGTAGGCTGCATCTCTTTGCATGCTCGGCAGGGAAGCGCTTCATTGTCACGAGCCAAGAAGTGAGTCACCAATTGTTTGAGGAGTGCATTGCATTGTTGAGATTCAGCTGCGTGATGCTGCTCCATGTGCTGAAGAAGTGCATGAACATCCTGATAGTTACGGTTGCAAAGAGCACAGTGTTGTCCCAGCCCCTCACATACGTTCAGGTGGTTCAGCAAGAGGGCAGGCATGTTGTCGGCCAGTTGCTGGATGAGCTGCGGTGCCTGTGCATGAAGACGAGGATTGACCTGCGCCAAGGTGACCAGGGATTCAGCATCAATGGGCCAAGAAGGATAGAAGAACCGATGGTCTGGGTTGGCTATGTGTTCAATCATGGAGATTTGCCTCCAAGCGATGCAACTGTGAGCTCGGGGCTGAGAAGCTCGTCGTGGATTGCAGACACAGTCGAGTTGTTGCTCCTCAAGCAGCAGTACATATCCATCTGAGGCACGGTAAAATGGGCCATGCTGTGTTTGGAGATGCCGTGTCATGTCAGCCACTCTGCTGTGTCCCAACCCACAAATGCAACACGATAAAGTGAAGCGAAGTCGTTCTTCTGGCTGAAGTGGATTCTGAAGAGTCTCAACTATCCTGCCTGATCGAAGAGCTGCCTGGAGGTCAGGGTCCATGCCTGCAGGTTGAAGCGTCGAGTCGAAGACTGGGCAGGATCGACGAGTGACATGTCGTTGAAGTTCCCAGATCTCCCGAAATCTGGCCTTGCAATGAGAGCAGGTTGGATGACCTTGAACTGCATCTCGAACGGCGTGATACGAGTCATGGTTCCGCATGTGAGTGGTCAAGGAGTCCAGAGATTCATGCACATCAGCACAGATGATACATACATGTGGTAGCGGAGCTGCATGAAGTGGGACGGAAGTGGATTTCTTGGGCGCTTCCCTCTTTGAAGAAGATCCACCGGTCCTGGAGGCCTGTTCACATGGTACAATGTCAATCCCACCTGTAGCGGAGCACATCAAGGCCAGGGCATCTGCGCGGAGGACCATGAGCTGCAGCAGTACCCTACAATGATGCAGTGGTATAGCTGGTGTGACAGAAGCAGCAAGGTGAGCGCATAGATCCACTCCAGTGTTGATATAGCCCTGTAGATTCAGTGGCCAGAGCATTATGATCCAGGGTGAGGCGATGCGTCATGTCCTGGAACCTCGTCATATGTTTGCCACAAAGAATACAGTGACAGCGGAGATAGTCCTCTTGCGCTCGGTCCAGCTGGAGTTCTCCGGGTCACACGCGCTGACCAGAGGCACCAATTGAGATCTGATGTCCATGAGGGAGGGCGGCATCACCTGCGTGGGATCAAAGCAGGGGCATGAGGCATATTCGATGTGAGTACGAAGTGCATTCCATGTAGGGAAAGAGTGTTGACAGTGCCTGCAAATAGAAACACCTCCTTCGGCGTCACGAGCTGCAGAAAACACCTGAACACGACCATGCTTGATACCATGTACTGTACCCTCATGAACAAGGAGTGCATGGATGGTGTTGCGCTGCCTGCCGCAGGAACGACACTCAAAGATATTGTCGGTGCCAATCGAATCAGGACCTCCAACAATGTGTTGTTCAATGTGGGCTAACAATGTTCGTGTACCATGAAGCTGCACTGAATGTAGGATGTCATCCTGAGGCAACGACTTCAATTTGGCGGAGTGCACTTCCAAAAGGCGCAAACAGCAGCGGTGAAGAAACAAAAGTGGTGGTCCCAGCTGTCTAGCCTGAAAGAAGGTGGTATGTGATTCACGTGTTCGATGCGAGTGGTTCATGTACATCATCCGTTGCATGGTCAACATCTGCGCGGTCAACTGCTTGAGCCCCGCTGATGAAGTACCAGTTGCCCAGATTCCATAGAGCATGGTTGCGCGAACAATGCTTTCCCAGAGCCTACGTCGTTGTGGTGGATCCAAACCCTTTTTTCCGTACAACCATCGATGCAGGCGTCGATTAGCCTGTCTTCCAGCCGCCAACCGATGCTCAAGGGTGAGCCTCTCATAGTTGGTGTAGCTCAACTTGATGCCAAGATATTTGATGTCCGTGACCAATTGAACGTGAGAGGCTGAACCGCTCAAGCGTGGGATGACCAAAAACCATTTGTGGTTCTTCTGTGTAAGAATTCTGGATTGAAGTTTCCGGAGGTGCTTCCCCTTGATGTTGAAGAGAGCAACTGTTTTGGACATGTTCATAACAAGACCG